TGTTGGGAAAAGCGATAGCTAATATCGATAACCAATAGCGATAACATTATAATGTCGTGCTTCTCAATATATATTATTTGTAATAATACATAATACGAGTTAGTTCTTCGGTTTCCGTCAACCACGACGCAGTAAACATATGCTGACATTCGCCGCGTAATATTTTTATAGTTATTTGTCTAATAAAACACACAATTATACTTTCAGCCTATGCATTTTAATTAATTATACAGTCCACAACATAAAAGGTAATAAAAAACAAATTAATCAGACAATATCTTTCGTCGTATCGATAACGATTTACTTTCTTGTTAAAATTAAGCTTGGTTTTTTTTTTTTAGCTAGATTTAAATATCATTTTCCAAATAACTGGTGATAGGAATAATATTAATATAATACATATTGTGTGATGTGTAGAATACTAGAATAGATTAATACATTTATAGATTTATAATTTTTTAATGTAATTATGTAAAATGTCAATGTGTCTTGCGGTAATAAGATGATAAATAAAAATCGAGGGGCCATTTAACAAGCGCGGGGCCCTGGACAAATGTCCCATTTGTCCTCCCCTAGCGCCGGCACTGTTAGTAGTTTTAAGTCATTGTGTAGGGTGTGGTTCGAGACAAAGAAAGGCGCTTTTGCAATTAAACGAAAAGATTTATTTTGGACAACTTGTATTTTATCAATGTTGGATTTTTTTGCTGAAACCCAAATTTGAACCTCAATAAGTCCAAATAGGTTTTAGTACGCTTTTGTAAAGCATTAGCTTTGTACTGATTGAGAGTTTGGATCTAGAGTTTAAGGAGTAGTTAAGGGAACGAAGGCGAGAGTTTAGCTTAATTTTTTATCGAAGTTAACACCAAGTTATTTTATTTTAAGTGAGGTGGAAATTTGGATGTTGTTGAAAGTGATTTGAGGACATAGGCCTTGTTTAAGTGTGAACGTTATGTGGCAGTTTTTAGATTCCTTAATTGTTACTTTCCAACTCATACACCAGGTTTCAATTAGAGTGAGGTTGGGATTGGAGCATGTTTGAAGCTGTGAATGGATTTTCATGAGTTGAAATAATCGCTTGGTTGTCAGCGTATTCTGCGACAAAGGTATTAGTGGAAGTAGGCTGGTGCGCAATAAATATGTTGAATAGCAGAAGGGCTGCGATTGAAATTTGAAATTTGAAATCTAAAATAATCTAGATCTTTAATAATTTAAAATGAAGATCTAGAATCAATTACTTACAAAATATAGTATTATAAATAGATGGTTTTTTTTTTGTTTTGATTATGTCATGATGGTATAGATTGTGAAGGCTGTATTGTACTGACTGAATACTAAATTGTGATTATTTGTAATACCAATAATTTATTTTTTTATCATATGGTACTATTAAGCAGCATTAACAGTGTGTCAGTGTTGGGTGGTAACGTAAAACACATTACAAATTACTGTAACAAAATTACCTACTTTTGCAGTAATACTGCAGTAATTTCATTATATTTTATTTAAATTAATACAATTATAACAAAATTACTTTTTGATAGTAATTTCAATGGCTTAGTCCCCCAAAAATAAATTACTTGTTCAATTGTTTACTAAAATATTAATAAGCCTCGTAAACTATAATTCTATTTTTGTTTTGGAAAAAAATGTAATTCATTTATAAATATTTAAATATGTATTTAAAATTATTTTATATTGCCAATGATAAATATAGTAAATATCCTGCTGTATACTTATTGTCTGTATTATTTTTAAGAAAATGATTTATGTCAGTACATTGATACCATTATTATACATTATTTTACAGTTTATGCGCTAAAGCCCTATGCTATAATTTACAGACAGTACCTATGTTATCGTTGTGAAAAATGAAACTTGAGTAAATAAATGTTTAAGTTTCTGAGTTTAGCAGGATGAATGTATTATTGTATTTATGGTAATATGTTTTTTTATGCCTTCAAAATTTAAGGTAGTAAAAATGCTCCAATTTTTGACATCGACATACTTTCTCATAGAAAAGTTAATCTCAAAATTCCCAGTAGCTTTTTCTGCCAGGCAGAATTTCGAATGGGGCACCCGTAGGTTTCTGCCATGCCCCGGGGGTGGGGGATGGCAGCACTTGTTCTCCGGTCACCGCGACTTGTCCGGAGAAAAATGCCGCCCGGTAGCCGAGGATCGAACCGCGACCGGCTGCGTCGCAGCGGACGCGTCAGACCACTCGGTCACCTCATCCCCCTTCATTATTATTATTTATATGGGTACTAGATAAAAGTTTATTTGTAGTTTAAAATTTATTTATTGTATTATGAATTCTAAAAAGTAAATTTTTATGAAATATTTATTTATTCCAATAACAAGTTAATTTATTTATAATTACCAATTTCTTAAACATCTAGTTAATTTTTGTTATTATTTAATTAATTTTTTTGTATTTATGTATATTAAGTTACTTAGTAAAAATGCATTTTCTTAAACCATTCATTATAGGTAGTTTATTATTTAACTAATTATTTTACCACGACTAAATTATTTACAGAAACTTTTTTATGTTTAGCACACTATTTTTTTTTTAAATTATACATTTATTATTATATTATATGAAGTGTCTGTACATACAAAATATGCTTAATACTATTTTTATTCAATACTTTTTTTTTTATGAAACAAAATAGTCATTAAGCGAATTATGAAATAAAAAACATTTTTTATACGTTTTTGCTATTTTTTAAATTTGTTTATTAACTTAACACTAGGACAATTTAGGCCATTGACATCGTTCGTTAAACGATACTACATTCAAAACATTGGGCCTTAAAAAATATACTAAAAAAGTAGCAGTGAAGCCGTGTATCTCTCCATCATTTCCAAATTTGACATCACCTGCACACAGCACTTGGAACATTTGAACTTTATCAGGTAACTGCATATCGAGAGTTAAAATATCGATACTGAATAGTTGATGAATTGTGGTGGCCATTGATAACATTGCTCGTGTAATTGCTGAATGGCCAGTCATACGGTGGCCAAGCATAATACATGTCCCATCTTCAGGGAACAATGTATGAACTATATGACGATTTTTGTCTAAGATTTCAAAAAAGTCTTTCACAAATTTTACGATAATAGATTCTTCATTTTCATTGTCTTGCACACTATGATAGGTAAAACAAAAAATTAAAATACAATAATATAATGCCTGTAAAACTAAAATATTTTTTAAATCATTGCGTTTATATACCCGATCATAGTCGGTTTCATTGTGTACGCCTGAATAGATATTTCCAAACTTACCTCTGCATTCTGAAATCTACTAAGGAATAAGAATAAGGATATAATATTATAATTGTAAAATGAGCCCTGGAGTTCTAGATCATAGAATAAAAACTAAAAAGAAGTACTGGGTTAGAGGACTATTAAGTCATAATTCTATATCAAGAGTTAAAACTATATAACTAAGCAGGCATGTCTACAGCTGGATCACAATTTAAGATAGTAGTATATAGTACTATCTTAAATGTTGGGCTAGATAACACTACATCATAGACATAGATCATAAAAAAATATTGTAAGCAAGAATTCGATGTTTATTTGGTGGAATTTCGGCATGCAGTTGACTTACGGTGTACACAATACCTACAACAGAATAGGTGAAACTTCAAAATGCTCGATTTTTGGAAATATCGTGTTTTTGAGTTTTAAATACTAAGAATTTACAATTTTCGGAATTTTCATTTCATGAATTGTTGGTATTTTTATGCTCAACGTGTTGGTGAAATCAGAATTTACTCAGCTTGATTACCTACTTTTTTTTTGTATTGTTAATAAACTTAAAATCAAGTTTTACGTGATTTATTAACAATAAAATTAAAAGTAAGTAAGTAAGGTAGATAAATTCTGATTTCACTTAAGTGTTGAGCATAAAAATACTAACAATTCCAAAAAATTGCATTCATTCTTAAAGTAAGTTTAAATGCGTATATTATATTATTATCCACATAGAAATTTTTTTAAATCGGCCTTCTTAGCGCTCCTAGCGGACAATACCCACATTAAATACCGTCAAATTACGACTCACTTTTCGACGCTAAGTGACTACAATGGGTTTATAGAAGATCTACTTAGATCATAGTATAATAAATAGTTTATGATCTAAAGCCGGGTTCACACCAAGAAATATTTGTGAGCAACATAATATGTTCCTGACATTGTAGTCGGCAAAGATTTATGTTACCGCATATGGCGGGAAATCGGAAACATTGTCGACGACGAATCCACTAAAGACGGTTGAACGGGGACGATCTTTTCAATGAACTACACCGTATTATTTACATCCTGGTGTAGTCCATAGACCTTATACCATAAAACAATACTAAACTACCTAGGTATGAGGTCTATGGTGTTGTCACTCGGCGTCGTAATTTGACGGCATTGTCCGCTAGGAGCGCTGAGAAGGCCGTTTCTGTTAATAATTATGTATGTAGCGATGTACGCATTAAGGCTTTAGGGACGAATATACCTAGTTTGATTCTTTACTTTTTTCTGAAGCGTGTTCTTACTTTTTATGTTATTGTCAATAAACCACTCAAAACTGAATTGTGGTGCATAAAAAAAGAATTGCTCAAACTTAATTTGTAAGTTATGGTCAAAAATCTACAAGATGCTCGATTTTTGGAAAAATCGTGTTTTTGAGTTGAAGACAGGGCTTGCATTTGAAAAAAAATCATTTTATGTGATTTACAATAAAAATGTTTTAGAATTGTTGAGTTTATCGTTATTTAGAACTAAAACATTATTTTGCTCAACATTTTTCTAATAATCCAGTAAGTAATTTACAATAATTTTTTCCAACATAATATTTGCAATGTTAGCAGCGAATATTTTATTATTTTTAATTTTATTAATATTTGATATCGGTTTTCTAATTCCTGTTGTATATTAAAGAAGTTGGTATGTTTGATGGTTGAACCTCGGTACTACAGAGTAGAGTAGTATACCAACATTTTGACATTGAATAATTCTGAACACAAAATTATATTATACTTCAACATCGCAATTATTAGTGCATCATTATGTTTTGTTTTGTGATATTTAATCATTTTTGTTTATCGTTTTTCATTAAAAATTGCAATCGTTGTTTGTCAAAATATAACGTCATAAATCATAATCATATTCAGAATGTTATTATGATATTTGCAGGCCCTGGACTATAAAATAAATTACTAAGAATTTACATTTTTTGGAAACATTTAGATTCTGAGCGAAGCGATGAATGTATTGATTTTACAATGATGTGTTTTTTTGTATGTCTGTCATCATTTTTTGGGGCAATTGAAGTGCTTCGATTTTCTTCAACAGCATCTTTTCTGGTTATTTAAGTTCAAATTTCGACGAAATTACATAATATTTTTAAATAATAATCAAGACTCAAGAATAATGATTTAAGTTATTTCGTTGAAATTTAAAAATATTATTCTTGGGTACTTATACACACAATGACTTTTCAAATGTATCATTTTTTTTTTTTTGCAAAAATGAATTTAATCTATTATAGAACTAATTCTTAATAGTAAAATAATATACTTTAATCGCAATAATTTCATCGAATATACTAAATTACTAAGTAATATTAAGTCTTACAGACCGTCTTCTCACAGAATTGTTTTTCGAGATTAACGATTCTATATATCATTGAATTCAAATTTAAAACCATCCATTGTAGTGACCCATTTGTAACCTACAATACGGCAGAGTGATATCCACTTAACCACTTTTTTTTTGAAAAGTTGGTATTTTTATACTTAACGTGTTATTGAAATCAGAATTTACCTATCTTAATTGCTTGCTTTGTTATTGTTGATAAACCACGTAAAACTTAATTGCAGGTAGTAGGTACCTATTTTAATTATTTTTTTATCATAATTGTAGCCTTCATAATTTAAACTTATTATCATGAACTATTATCTTTTGTAAAAAAGTTTAATAGTTCAGAAAGAATATTATACAATTACGATTTACAACAACATTTGCAAAAAAATTATCTGCTTAACAATTCAAAGTAAAGATATTAGGTTTTCATTAAAAAAATGTTGGTTTTTATTGTCAAAAAACCCTTCTGAATTTTTATATAGCATATAACAAATAATAGTAGGCACCTAATTAGAAATATAAAAACTATAAAATAAAATAGAAAAATTTTAATTTTAATATAAATAAATTATTTAAAGGATTGAGGATTAAACGGGAGTGAGCATGCCAGGAAATATTGAATCACTTTGTATTATATATACTAACAGAATTTTAGTATATAATAATATTATATCATACGCATTTAAAAGTTTATATTTAAATACACGTATCAACGTTAATTATACATTGAATTAAATTTTAAAATAGATTGACCCACAAAATATGTTCGTTCATACGGGCAAAGCTCATTTTAATATATATTATATAGTATACGCTCCCAAGACTCGTTTATATTCTATACTTAAAATATGATTTTCATCTTAAAATTTTTTTCTATGATTATGCCATATTTATACTTTTTCAGTACTTTTCAAGCCTTTATATTTCTTTAGGTATTATACAGTTTTCACCTAGCTAATATAAAATCGTGGAATAAATTGTAGTCATTTTTTTAGGAGGGGGAAAAATATATAATAATTAATATTTTATATCTTTTGTATCTAAAATAACTAAAATATAACGTCCTGTGACATCCTTTTACTATTCAAATAATATACCAATAATACATTTATATAGCTGGTATATGTATAGGTAAGGCCTATAAGTACTACGTGTAAACATTATATCGTAGGTATATATCCATATATTATTCGCTTAGTCCTTGAAGTAATAACTAATAATTCATCATAAAGAGCACATCTGCAGCACAACTTTGAGTGTCCTTATTAAAATATCAATATTTTAAGAACAAATTAATTATTATTAATTAGTTTAGCACACATTAAAATTATATTCAACATCACAAGTGTGCCCATGCCTTGCCTGCCTCCGAAAAAATATGAATACAATAGTGATTTGAAAATTGTAGTCATTATTAATCTATCAATATTAATAATTTGTAAAAATTGCCCAAGTATAATAAATACTAGATCCAATTTTGCGTCTACCTATATTTATGTAAAACCAGCTTTAAGGACTATTATCTTTAATACAAACATTTTAATAAGTAAGAAACTACTCATTAATTTTGGACTTCTAATAAATTGGAATAAGTACCATTATCTAAAACAATTTAGATGTAGGATCACTGTAGGTACTCAGGGGCTGCCACTAGGGTGAAACTAGATCTTTAAAACCCAAGGAACTATAATTATAAATGCCTCACAGAGCATTCATATTAATGATAAAAACAATATGTATATATATGTGTATAATACTATTTTTATTCGTATATTAGAATTTTAAAGATATAACTTATGAGGGATTTACAGTATAATAGACAGTCGACCATAGCATACGTAATCTATTTAGGGATTTTTGATGTGACCTATTGGCTAAAAATTACTCGTAAGCATCCATTTTTCGTAATTTTTGTTTTCTATTCTTTATATAGTTATGTTTATCATCCATATCAATTATAGGAATATGTTATCATATTGTATAACAAACAAATTAATATAATGACTAATAATGGTTTTGGTTTTTGTTCTGTAATTTCTTCATAATTTAAAAACATAAAATTTATAGTATTTTACTATAGTAATAATAATAGTTACACCTAAAAAACAAGGGGTGCTAAATTAGAATTTGGGGGTTCTAACTATAAAGACCCTTTGCAAACCTCTAGTTGCACCGACGAGGGTAGGCAAAGTGGACTCACTTGCACAGTTGCACCCCTTACATTTGGAACAATTGTTCCCATCATTCCCATCATATTCCTTAATTCTCGTACTTATCTCTACCTACAAATTATAAATTTCTTATTTATGTATCTTTGTTCTATTTCGTTAAAGAAAATGTATTTTTATACAATTTTTAACTGTTTTTTTTAACGAACACATAACATTATAAAAATTACCAACACTTATAACTTTATAAGTTATAACAAACTAAAATTAGTTGTTTCATTCTTAATATTTCAATTTATTCATGTTTAAATAACTTGCTTTAAATTTCAACTTAGTTTCACATCCATCATACCAACATCTAATTATTTGAAATTTTCATTTACAGTTGGACAATCAATAGTATTCATCAATTTTTTTCTTGAATGTCGTCATCGAAAAATAAATTGTTGTTGTTTGTCAACAGCTGGTAAGCCTATATGTATACACTATACTGTATACATAATACTCAATAGCCATTTCAGTGTAAGGTACATTACACTGCTTGCCATCATAATTCATAATACATATATAAGATGTATAATGAAATAACCTTCTTATGGTATTTTTTTTATACTTAAAGTAAAGAAAAAAATATCAATAAATATATAGGTCGTACGTCAAAAAGACCGTAAATTATGTACCTGTCGCTCCAGTTGCCAGATGAGAATCCAAATCTCGGTAAACATATGCGCCGGCCGGTGATAGTTGTCTACAACCAACAACAATATTATGTGCAGTTTCGTAACCATTTATGGTCTCAAACCCGGCAACACGATGACTCACGTTTACAGTAGCCTTCAAGGTGTTATTTGGCATTATCAATACCACAGAACTGTCTCATTAAGTTTTTTTGTATAATTTCCATTTAATGGAAATTTCTAAAAAATCTCCATCAGCTGCTTTAGTTCTTTGGTAAGTAGGTATTTTACAAATATATATAACTATTAGAATATATTCTTTTTGATTTGATTGAAAAGCAATTTACTATTGATAAAGCAGGTACCTATAATAATTTATAACTATAAAAATAAGATAAATATAAAATATACAGCTAGATTATTCACCAAGCATTCTCAGGCTATTGTTTCATTTTAAAATAAATTTTTTCAGATTCTGATTTTGGAACTTTTAAATATACTTAAAGACCATATTTTCAAATTCATGAAGTTGCTTGTACTATAGCTTCTATAAAAGTCTGATTTTAAAATGAGACCACTAATAGTTGACCCTAAGATTTTAAGCCCTAAAATAATGGTTCACCTTAAGTCTGTAGTGACCATTTTTACAGATTATAAATATTTATGGATTAATATGAATTCCTAAAATGTTTAAGACATTGTAGCCCTCATATCTTCCAAACTCATTATCATCGACCTATTATAGTATTATCCTTATTCATTAGTAGTAAGTTCACAAAACTAATAAACTCAAATACTGTATATCCGTATTTTGATTTTGATGCGTCAAATGTTTAGAAAAATTATCCACTAAATAATTTGATGTTAAAAATAGGGGTCTCTTTAAAAAAATGAAATTTGTTCCTCCACAGGACTTTCCTTAAGTATTACGAAAAACCCCAATAATTTACAAACATAGTCTTTAAGTATAGGTATACATGAAAATTCCAAAAATCAGATTTTGAACAACTGTATTATAATTTATAAGGTACAAAGAGGGGGTGAGCAAGCTTAACGAATCACTCTGTATATAAAACAAGTACACATAATTATACTTAAAAATGCTTTTTGCTCTAGTGTATTATACTCATTATGAGTTATGAGTTCATTTATACAGTATACTTATAATTATTAAGGATCTTAGATAATTGTCCAAATATCACAACTGTGTGGTTAGTAAGTTGTTATTTATTATGTACCTAAACACCAACTCTACCGATTAATATGCATTGTACGTATTGTTATTTGTTAGTAGGTAAAATGGTATTACATTATATTTGCATTACAATATAAAATACGTCAGTACTTAATATGATACATGAGTACGTGATGTATTTGGTACATCAATAATTATTTAGTGGCATACAGCAATTTTCTGTAACACGCAATTCTTAACAATAAAATAGCTATCATGGCTTAAATTAATTTGGGATATACCTAATCAAATAACATTCAACGTAACAATTAAATAACATTTAAGACAGATATTGTGAATGCCGAATTGGGACATAACTAAGTTTATTCGTTTTAATGTTCGTTGTCAATTTTTAAAAACTAAACAGTAAGCGATTATAGCAAGAATATATTCCTACCTATTAATCAAATGCTAAAAATTATTTATATTTATTTATTTTTGTATACATTTTTTCTCTGGACAGTTTCGAATAAAATTTTTTTTCGAAGGTCCCAATAATAAAGATACAACAGGTATGATGAGATAATTCGACAAGATACAAAGTACATAATGAGAATATTTACCAATTTTAAATGTACCTAGGTAGTTAGGTACTCATGTACAAAGTGTATCAATTTTTACATTAATAATCAAAACAACGAGTGACGACTATCATTTAAACGGATTCAATATTACACGCATGTCGTTTTTGTTTGTAATACATGCATTTTATGGCCTTATATGGAATGATTTATTAATAAAGCATTTCTACAATAGGTATACTATACGTCTATACCTATACGGCTGTACATATTATATACTATAAACATTCACTCTGTATACCTACAAATTTCAACAAATTGTGGTCGGCACTCTGTAAGGTACCTATACATTATAGAATATTTTGAACTTATATCACCCTAAATACTGCAAAAAACAGCAGTCAAAACTCAAAAGTTTAAAATAAGTACCTATTACAATTCATGAAATTATATAGGTAACCACTACATAACTACATAATACATACCAGATGGGATATAGTAAGGGCGTATCTGAGTGATCCTTTGACTCCCTATTAAAAGAATAATAAATCTTGTTTTTATCAAATTTTTTACCAAATGTCAATACTTGAAATTGACTAAAATTATAAATAAATATATATTTTGGACCCTTCCCTTCAAATAAATATCTAAATACGGCCTTGAAAATGAGTGTAAGTAATGTATACCTAATATAAGTAGGTGCTTATATAACATTATAATTTATAACAGCATGATTAATAAACAATTATTCCAATTGATTTTGTTTCCGTTTAATCGTGTTTCAGAAATAAACTCAATTGACCTCAAGTACCCGTTTTATTTTGGATTAAATAACTACATTATTAAAACCCGTAAAATGCAACCACGTAAATGTGGTTTTGAAACGCTTCTAACGTTGCATGTAATAACAATAATAATGTATACCGCGAGAGTGGGAAAAATCTTAACCGTACACAAATCTACTTAGCTCTTTGTTTTTCCTCAACCACAAATTCTTGTATAGGTATATATATGTTCTAGGTGACTTATAAAAATATTATGTTCACTAACTACCAATTTTTTTTAAACATAATCTTAGGTACCAATTAACTGAATAACAATACCATAATAACAATGATAGAATATATTAATTTAATAAATATAATTACTTAGATAATTTATTAATCAATGTGAATATTCATTAATTATTTATGTATGACATGAGCGATGCAATTTTCTATTTAAGTATGTCATACATACCCATATGGATATGGTATTATGTCATCCAGGTCTGGAGTAATAAATAATTTGTGTCTCCGAGTGAGATTTTAGGACATCCCAAAAATAGACAGAAGCCTGTCCCTCTCCCTACTACTGTTCGTTGAGGCCAAAAGAAAGCTGATCGTCTTCATTATTCCCCCACTCTGTCACTAACCGTACTGGGGGTCTACTGCTACATGTCTGGTTGCTAGTCGACGCAAGTTCAGTGCTAACGCGTGTGCTTACGGGTGTTAAGTTAATATCGTTTTTGTGTAATTATTATTATATTTTGTGACTAGGTAAGAATTTTTCTTATTACATATATTTTAGTTTTTTTTATCAACTTTAAAAATGACTTGGTTTTTTTTGTATACTTAAATTGAAAAACTGTTGTTGATAATAACTTAATAACTTGTATTAATATAACTAATACGATTTGTAAGGTTGAAATAGTAAAAGTATTTTAAAAAACCTATAAAAAAATACTTCTACTAGGTATCTACTAATTTGATTTATGTAAAATACACAGAAGAATATTTTAAAATATAATCCAGTATTTAATTAATTGTTTGAAATTTCAGTCGCTCAAAAAAACATCAAAAATGGACGCGATCAAGAAGAAAATGCAGGCGATGAAGCTGGAGAAGGACAATGCTATGGACAGGGCCTTATTATGCGAACAACAAGCTCGTGATGCTAATTTAAGAGCCGAAAAGGCTGAAGAAGAGGCAAGAGCCTTACAAAAAAAGATTCAAACAATTGAAAATGAGCTTGACCAAACCCAAGAACAGCTTATGACAGTTAGTGCCAAACTTGAAGAGAAGGACAAGGCTTTGCAAAATGTGAGTATATTGTAATTATTATTGTATCTCTTACCATACATCACTATATCAATCAAAAAACTTCTAGTTTTTTTTCTATACCTGCAATTTAGGATTACATTTAAATGGTATGGATTCGTATATTTTATCTTTAATTTAAATATTTACTATACTATGAAAAAATATTGTTATCTAGGCCATACATTCCAAATAAGACACTTATTTCATTGCACAAAATATTGTATAATTATAAGATATTATAATTCGCATAGCATGTTATTTTTATACTATTCCAAATAACTTAATGGTTTTTCTTTACTTCATAATTCGTTTAATTTGAAAATAGTTCTTATAGTTTCTACAAGTTCTTATTATAACTAAAACAAAAAAAAACTTATACAAAATTAGCCTAATTGATGGTTTATTATTTCGAATAAAATTCCAGTTCTTACTATACACGGTGTGTAAAAAATGCTCAAAATATGCTGACCTTAACACAAAGTCATCGGTTTGTCTAGTTACCTAATAACAATAACAATATTATGACTTAAAGACGTGCGAGTTGTATAGGTACTTGTTTTAACATTATACCAC